CTGAAGTGCAAACGACTGCTTAACTCTCGTCGAGAAGTTCCCTGGCCACCTGGGTAAAAGATGAGTGGGAACGTCTGGCAATCCTCCTATAACTCAAAACCGAGGTCGTAGCATCTCCGAGCGTGATTACGAGAGTCTGCGGCGAAAGTTTAAGATGCTCTACAGTACCCGCAAACCAACGGGTGTGACGGACATGCCTCCACATATCAAGGAGGCGAAGCTGCTGAAGAAGAACATTGATGAAAAGGCGGGGGTGACGGAAATGGACGACGGTGCCGATGTCGACGGCCAATTCGAAGATGAAGAGGACGACCAGCCTGACTTCAGCTTTGACTTGGAAGGCGTTGACGACATGGTTAACACCTCCGCTGTAAGTGCAACCAGCCTCCACTCGGCCACCAACATAGGCGAAGTGTCGGTCGAGCTGATGGATTCGGCTGCTGGGCGCGAAGGACTAGAGGCGTTTGCAAACACTTCGGGACCGTCCCCAGTCTGTACCAGATCCTCGCAACGACAGGACCGATCCACCGGTTTGCCGAAGCCGAACGTGCCGCAAGCTTCGACCTCAAGCGTCATCAGCGTGGAGAAAACCGCCTCGATCCGAGCTGACGACACAGAGTATTCGAAGCGATACCACACGTCTTCCAACCGCCTCGGCGGTGGCAACCTAGCCGAAATTCGAAGCATCAGTGGACGCAAACGCGGAGCTGACGGCGACGATGACCTCTCGGAGGCCAGCTACGCCAAAGTGAAGAGAGTTAAGGCTACGGAAGCGGCCAACCAATTGAAGAAACGCCTCAGTGACCTGGAGACAGATTCCTCCGCGGTGGGGGGCAATATCGTTGAGATGATGATCCTCATGCGAGAGGACAGCGAACGCAGAGGTGAAGCTCGTCGTGCCGATGAAGAACAGCGCCGACGCAATGAAGTCGCAGCACGGGAGGCCCTCTGGCACGCCGAGAAACTTGAAGCTGAAGAACGCCGCCGCCAAGAGAAGATGGAGATGGAAGAACGAGCTCGTCGCGATAGGGAGGAAGCCCGCGCTCGATCGCAAGAGCTCATGTATTTCATTGGTGCCCTCTTCAAGAAGGAGTGAGAAGATATACGGTCAGTGCTTCTAGCGTTAGAAGTCTTATCCAGAAACCAGCCCACAGAGGGAGGAAGTCCACTTCGTAGCGTTGCATATTGAGAATAGCCCTTGATAGAGAGCGAAAATCCCACAAACACGATGCTAATTGTCCGTCATCTCCGCTTGTATATAACTCGTAGTGAAACTACTCATGCAAAGGAACTTTGCCACTGTTCTTCAAATACATAATCCCAACCCCGTGTTACAGGGAGATCTCCATCGCGCCTGTAAACGTCGTTCGGATTTCCGAAATGCCCACCGTGCGGACTCGGTAATTTGCCATCCGAAATAGGTTGTTTAGTCGCAGTCCACGGAGCTTCTGGTCGTAGGGAAGCGGCAGGTTCAAGCGACTGTAAACCTTCTGCACGCTGCCCATGCCCCACTCAGCAGCCTGTCTCACCGACGTGATGGCGTTGTGCAGGGTGCGCGCCGAGCTTCGTAGCGACGGTTGAATCCTCTCGAGATCCCCGTCCTTCAACGGCGTCAATATTCTCCCGGTCATCGCCGTGGAGCAGGGAAACGCCGAATCTGACACGACGTTCATGCGCACATCCGGACAGTAAGTAGGATCCAGGAGCTTCATGCGAAATCCCAAAGAGGTGTCGGAATCGTTCCAGGACCCAGGGCAGTTATGCTTGGACCATATGATGCACCCGTCGGCGGCGAAGCAGATCGTGCCGGTCACCAGCACGGAGTGTAGCCATCCGTTATACATTGCATTTTGTAGGTCAGCATTAGATGGTTGCTGCACCTGAAACATATAGACACCAACAGAAGAATATTAATTGGCATGTAGCAATAAAGAGAGTCAGTATAGAGACCCACACGAAAGTTCTTGCCGTCTATGAACCCGAACGTGTGTTTCAATAGCGGCTCGCGGGAATTGACCAGCGTCGCCAGCTCTCGCTGTCGAGATGGCGACGGCCATGAAATACGTGCTAGATAGAAGTCCTGAAGGGCACGCGACAATGCTTCTTCGGCCTTACGTAGCGAGCGCGACAACGTGCTGGGAGGAACCCCGAACAACATGCACAGAGTCGCGTTCTCCATTGAACCCACGTAGAAGCAAAGTACAAGTCCTAGGGCTTGATGGTGATATCGTAGCTTCGGTGGCCGACCTCTACTTCTCGCCGAAGGAAGGTGGTAGAAGCGCGAGAATCTTTTAAGTAGGTGTTTAAAGGCAGCTCTGCGTAGTATATAGTAGCAGTTGTTACGAACAGTGCGAACATTATCCGCTCGTCAATAAAACCTACCTCGTGAGGCTTGTAGCGTTTATGAAGTTCGTGTCGAGGCCGTTCCGGTAAAGGGCCATCCACGCGGCCGCACAGGGTGTATCCAAGCATGACACCGTCAGGTAGTGACGTGTACGCATGGCAACGCGCCACGCGCTCTCCATCATCTGCTGGTGCACTTCACGGCGGACACTACCCAAACTAGCTTCGCGCCACGAGTGTGCGGCGCTCAATAACAGCAGCACGTCAACGTCATCGTCCTCCTCGTGCATCTTGTTGGCGAGAGTCTCTAAAGGGGAAGTGGTGAGCTTCAAGTACAATTTTTTTAGTCCAATAGAAATTGCCGCAATGTATAAAACTGCTAGTAAACTCAAGTACCTTCTTGCGGAGGGGACACTTTGCACTGGCCTAGGTTCCTCCTCTTACTAGATTTGTGGTGGGGCACAAAACATATAAGTCGACATAGAGGTCGATAAAACCTGACATATCTGCTGCAGATATGTCAGGTGCTTACTATATTTTTGGAAGGCGTCCATTCGCTCGACATCTAGCTTAAACCTCAATTTGACCACCTACCTAATTAGAACACATGTGGCTGAAACCTACTTAAAACACAAGGCTGTACCAAACAATAAATATATTCTTGAGAGCTCCCAACCAACCACCCTTCTGAACAAAGTTGTCGGTGCTGCTGTTACTTGGCTTTAATTCTCCTATTTTATAATTTACACAGCCATGAGTGCTGAGCGACGTAGCTATAGTATCCACGAGAAACTCGCTGTTCTAGCAGACTATCGGATAGGCGTGAAAGGTCACGGCTTTGCTGCTCTTAGCAAGAAGCACAGCGTGGCGGTTTGAGCCCACGCCGATCGCGTAGGAGGGTCAAGCCTAAACGACCAAGCCAGATTCCAGGACCCACAAACTTGCTTCTTCAAAGTCAAACAATTTGTTCGCTGTACAACACATAGGTTTTCTAAACGAATATAACACACAAGCAGTGTTGTATTCATTTACAGCACATATGCCTTATATGCGGGGTAAGACGGTAGCTCAACCACACTTCCGTTTGAGTGTTCGACCACTGTGGTTAAAAAGCCCAGGGATATTAAGGGTGTTTGTAAAGCCCGGGTTTTTGTAAGAAGATCCTTTTCAAAGGGAGAATAGCGATTATGTCAAAGGCATGCACGCTGGAGAACGGGGTGTTGAACCTGGCGGTGCTGCGTGAGGACTCTCGACGCGAGCTGTTCTCGATCCTAGACTCGATTGGCAAGGACATTTGCTTCGTATTGGACCCCGAGCTCAATGGACCTCTCAATCATGTGTTAGTAGACGGCACAGCAGTGCTGAAGGACCACGGTGTCAAGGACTTCCACGCGTTTGGCAAGACAGTCAAAACAAGCTGCGAGTTCGTGCTGTTCCTTGTGCGGCCATCTGTGCGCGCCATGCGCTACATGGCTAAATACATCCGCGACTTGGGTGCGGACAAGTTCTCGAGCTCATCCAAGAAGCGCTTCCACCTCTACTATGTGAGTCGCCGTACGCTCGTATGCGACGAGGTACTGAAAAAGGAAGGGGTGTTCGGTAGCCTCAGTGTAGGGGAGTACAAGCTGGATCTCATTCCTTTCGACGACGATGTGCTGACACTGGAACTGGACGCGTGTTTCAAGGAGTTCTACGTGGACGGCGACAAGACCAATCTGCACACCATTGCAGCCTCACTTATTAAGCTGCAGACTGTATTCGGTATGATCCCTCACGTCAAGTACAAAGGCACCATGGCCAAGGTTATCTACCAGATGATGGCGCACTTCCGTCGCGAGCAGGAGGTGGCTGGCAACCCCATTGGTGTACTGGACCCGGAGATCGACACAGTTGTGCTTATGGATCGCAACGTGGACCTCGTGACGCCCATGTGCTCCCCCATGACGTACGAAGGACTACTGGACGAGATCCTGGGCATCACCCACGGCTTCATCACTGTGGACGCAGAGCTCATCGCTGACGATGACGGACCCAACTCGGGCAGTAGCAATCGCCCCGCTCAAGTATCGGTGCCACTAAATTCTAACGACAAGCTGTACGCTGAAGTGCGCGACTACCACGTCGAGCGCCTCGGTATGAACCTCCAGCAGCAGGCGCGCGAGATCCGCGAGCGCTACGACGAATTCCGAAAGAACCGCGACGCTTCTATCAGCGAGATTCGTGAGTTCGTCAAACGTATCCCGGGCCTTAAACAGAACTACCAGTCTTTACAGCAACACATTAACCTGGCCGAGATGATCAAGAAGATCACGGACTCGAAGCGTTTCCGAGACCTTAAGGACGCCGAGAACCTTGTCCTTACCGGTGAGACGATCTTTGAGCAGCTAGAGGAGGTAATTGGAGATCAGGAGCCACTACTTGGGGTGCTTCGTCAGTTCTGCCTTCAGTCTGTAGCTGCAGGCGGTGTCAAGACAAAGAACTACACGCACCTCAGTCGCGAGCTCGTACAGACGTACGGCTTTGAGATGATGCTGGCACTGAGCAACTTGGAAAAGGCTGGCTTGCTCAGTCGCCGGGATACGCTGTGGAACGAAGCCAGTGGCTTTGGCCTTGCGCGGAAATCATTCCGCTTGCTCAACGAGGACGTGGACCCGCGTAATCCTCGCGATTGTGCCTATGTCAGTCGAAGCCACGCCGCAGGTTATGCGCCGCTGTCTGTGCGTATTGTAGAAAGCGCAATCAAACCCCGTGGCTGGAGTGCTGTGCAGGAAGGCCTTCGTCAGTTGCCTGGCCCTTCGGGAGAAGTGTCGCAGGTCACCAGTAAGACTGCAAGTGATGACCCTGGTGCACCTGTTGGCGTTTCCAAGTTGGACAGCTTCGGTAGTGAGGAGCGCAAGGTTCTGCTTGTGTACTACCTAGGTGGTGTGACCTATATGGAGATCGCTGCACTACGTCATCTGTCCCGCCAGCCTGACTGTAAGTTTCCTACTACTCAAGACGCTCATGGGTCCGTGGAGATAATCATTAACTCGATAATGTTTTGTTTGCACAGGTCCGTACGATATTATCGTGGCGACGACAAAGATCGTTAACGGCGACACGCTGCTCAAGTCGTGCTTCGACAAGGAAGTGCTGCGCTTGTTGAAGCTGTAAGATAAGCCTTTGGTAAAGCACAGTAGCTATCTCTTTCTTTCCTACTGCTTATTTGGCTTGGTCATGCTGGAGTTGCCAGGCTCGTGCTTGTCGATTGAGCGGCGCTCAAGCTTGCATATGTAAATGGCTTCGTCGAAGTATTCAATGACATCACAGGTTTTGGTCGTGCGTGTACTTGACGTTTTGCTGGAATCGTTGCAATAGACTTCAATTTCAAAGTGCTCGGAAATCGATTCAAAGAAGAGTTTCTCATTTCTGCGAGTGCAGCCACGATCAGTTCGGAAAAACAAGCAATGCGGATGACTGTGGGAAAAACTCACTCGGGTATGCGCTGCTTAAAGGCAAGCAACACGATGGGGAGGTGTTGAGACGCAGGATCGCGCTCAGAAATGTCTGTGAGTTCTTGCAGCGTCGACATTAGCGCCGAGTGCGATGCCGACTCGTATAAGCAGTCGGAAGCCACTACAACATCGACACGACGACTCGCAATGTTGTCGTCCAGAGGCTCACCCCTACGGAGTCAAATTTACAGGTGAGGTGCAAGTGAGAACGACAAGAGGTTGCGTGCAAGCTGAAATCGCACCAACGCAATGGCTGGACATTAAGGCGATTGCTGGCAATCAAAGTGGCTATCGACTCGTGATGTCGCGCAGCGAATCGAGCATTGTCTCGAGTCAAGGGCACAACGCTCTCAAGATCTGTAAACAGGAGTGAGGATACTTCGCATGTGCTGGCGAGAGCCAACCCCACCGCGCCTGGGCCTGCACCTAGCTCCAGTACATGGCGTTGCGTCACGAGATGCGGCTCGGCTTCGAAGAACAACACCATCGCTCGCGCCTAAACAGCCCGAGAGAGTGTCAGATGGAGATCACCACCACGTACACGATCGAGACTTATTGCAAAAGCGCACACAATTCCAGACGACACCAGCGATGCCATACTTGACCAGATCTTGACCTACAACCAGCGACGATTTTGTTGCTTGCAACTCGAGGGTTGTGGTGGGTGAACTCGCTTTCACATAGTTGACGCCGAGCTTTGATGAAGACGCTGCGCGCAGGAAGAGAGTCTGCCACTTTCCGCTCCACTCGGGCATCGCTAACTTTGTCCAGCAGGATGAACAGTCACTCCAAAGCCGTTTATACAAAAAAAAACTCGGCTTGTATTCCAGCCACCATGGAGCTAGAATCTACAAAATCCTTCGGGGACCCGCTGCACTCTAACTATCGTCTTCTACAGGCGTGGGGAGGGCTGGCGTGGTGTGACGGAGAATACCTCATCTTCATTCCTTGTTACTGCAGCTCCAGACGCGCCAGGTGCAGCGAGCTCACGAGACCGATGGCCGGGTGGAAAGAAGCGCGGATGTACTTTTCCACTGGAGGCTGCTGGCCGTACTTGTTCACGCGCGCCACGAACTTCTCGCGGATCAGGTCGAATAGCTTCTCACGACGAGCAATGCCACCGCCAATGACAATCACGTCCGGAGATGTGATGAACGTCACGTTGATGCACAGGTTAGCCAGGTAGTGCGCGATCGTGTCCCACACCGGGTTGTCGTCGGTGATTTTGGCCAGATCACGACGGTCCACGCCCGTACGTGCAGCAATGGAGCCAGACGCCACCATTCCCTCAACGCAGTCGCCGTGGAACGGACACACGCCCTTGAAATTGGTTTTGATGTCCTGCGGGGCCGGCGGCACGACGATGTGACCGCCCTCCGGGTGCATGAAGCCATGGATGGCGTTGCCGTTCGTGCACACACCAACGCCAACGCCAGTGCCCACTGTGATATACACGGCGCTACTGATGTCACCGTGGCCGCCGTACGCCACTTCGTACAGTGCGGGGGCGTTCACGTCCGTGTCGAAACCAATGGATACGCCCGGGAAAGCGCGCTTGAACACGCCCACCACGTCTGTGTTGCCCCAGTTGGCCTTAGGCGTGCTCGTGATGTAGCCGTAAGTCGGTGACTTCTTGTTGAGGTCCACGGGCCCAAACGACGCGATACCGATCGAGTCGAACTTGCGCTCCTTCAGCCAGTCAACGATGGCGCCCATCGTCTCGTCTGGCGTCGTCGTCTCCACCTCGAACTTCTCCAGGATGTTCTCCGGGTGATCCTCGGCGATGGCAACAACCCACGTGGTTCCGCCAACTTCAACTCCAGCGAAACGAGGCATCTTGTCTTTTACTTGAGGTGTGCTTGGTACTTCGAAAGTTCCAAAATGAGCTGAGCTGTGAGGTATCTTGGGGCGCGGTGTCAACCACCACCCTCACTTCTCCTTAAAATACGTTAGCTGAGGTCATCCCTCCCAGGGCTGCTTGGGGCAAAACGTCAACCAGCTGTTTTGAGCCGGTCACTAAATTCTTTGTGCAGGTTAGGATGGGGTACTCAAGTTCAATGCTGGCAAGGCAACAAAGCTCGTTCACCATGTCAACTTGACAGTCAAGGGCTGAAGTCGTTTCCTCGATGTATTCACGCATCATTTCAGTACCCACTAAAAAGCAGTCTGGGTGGAGCTCTATTACTTTGAAGTATTAATATTATTAATAATTCTAGATTATGAATAAAATTCTCATCGGACTGCCTTGTCTGTCCATGCGCTTTTACCCTCATTGAAAGAGGAAATCCCATAAAACAGTACATATATGAACTGTTTTGTACGGTACAAAGAATGTATGTACTCTAATCCCAATCTTTAAAAATATAGAGTGGAAACATTTTAGGAAACATTTTAGCTCATAAGTTCGCATTCGTAGAAAACCAGTTCATTGCTACGAGCGCATGCGAGTACCGGTAAATGATACAGTAGGTGCTGATTGGATTGTAAAAAAACCAGAATTTCCCATTACAGACTCCGTGAAATGCACATACAGCTTGTACCCTCGCAAACGCGGTCATACTATAATACTTTCGGCCTCTTCAACCAGAACATACGTGGTAGTAATGATTGGCAAGAATAACAATACACAAATTTATTTTATTTTATAGACCTCGAGGACAAATTCAGTACATATGTACTGTATTATAGAAATTCCTCTTTATTGAAGTGGCGAGAGTCGGAGCAATTCAGATAAAACTTCAGGAATGCAAAAATCTTACCCCTCTAGTGGAGTCTGGTGTCTGTCAGTCCGTCCGCGGCTAGGGTTAATTAATGTAACGCAAATGCGGGCGTTCTACTGGCTGCCGAGCGCAGCGAAGGCGGCCTCGATTCGCTGAAATTGCAATATGTGGTGTACATATTATATGTGGTCTACACATCGTACTTAAAATGCACAGTTCAAATTTTCATTTTGCCCCCATTTTCAAAACGGAAGCTGCGGAGCGCCACGACACTAAAGGTACGCTGCGTGTATGCATGTTAGTTTACATTAGTAGCTAGCAAGACACACATACACAGATAGTCCGAGGTTCCTGGGGCTGCTTAGGGGGTAGCTTATAACTTGCGGGATTTTATCCTGCAAGTAGGTAGCCGTGCTATGGGGATTTAGTTCCAGAGCCCTCTGGGTCCTTGGGGCTTTATCCCACCGCCCACTCTGCGCGAGAGCACATTTGGCATCTGGCCCATTGACCGCAAACCCGACAGCGAACCAGTTGAGCCGGTCGTTAATGGTTATTGATGGGCACGCACATTGCGTGCGTGCAGTTGGTCAGGAGGGGTACCGTAACTGGCCTCTTTTAACCGACAGATGGGATGGGGGCTGTAATAGCCTATCAATAACCAGCCTTTGCAATTAACGGCCGCCTTTTTGGCAAAAGGATATCGCACCTCAAGCTACAGTACTACCCGGGGGCCCAACCCTGAAGATTCGACTGCACAATTTGCAAACTAAAACCGCTCCGGGCCTCACGGCCCGTGACTGTGGGATAAGTGATCGGAGATAACCTTGATGGGGGCAAGCAATCCCGGATAGTACGCATATTCCAACACACTACTCGATGAAAACCTACTGCTACGTGCGGTGTACTTAGACATTGTCTAACGCGTCACGTTTTCGTGTTCGCAGAACTATGGGTCGGAGTAAGCGAAAGAGAACGCGCGAGGAACTGGAGGAGGCCCTGCGCGAGAACGAACGTATCAACGCGACACCCAGGCAAGAGGAAAAGGATGCACGGAAACGACGTCAGACCAAGCGCAGGAAGAAACGCTACGACTTGAACAAAGCGCTGAAGGCCCTCAGTGTGCACCAAGACGAGACAGAAGTCACAGAAGCGGCGGAAGTTCCGGCTGATCGCATTGAAGAGGAGGAGGAGAAGACGGAAGAGTCCGATCCTGTGGTACATCAGCGTCGGTTTGCGGCTCGAATGGAGGCGGCATATCAAGCAGGAGCCGCTGAAGAGGCTTTATTTGAAGTGCCTGGCGTACCACAACCTACCGCTCAAGAAATGCCCCCTGTCTCGAGAACGCAGCACGCTAGCGGAAACAGAGATAACGAGACGCTATCTCTCAACGAACGCCGCCGTGCCGGTGATGCGCAGAGGGCCCGTACGAGACGAGCCAATATGACGCTGTCTCAACGTGATCGATCGAGGAAGAAAGATGCCGAGCGCAAACGCGCCCAAAGAGCTCGGTTACGTGGAGATGAGCTTCAGGAACAACGGGAGCAGGGCAGCAGCAAGCCTCACACAGAGCAGAACTGAATGAACATGATCGGGTAGCTGAGCGCGCCCTAGACCGACAACGGCAATCCAATCGACGAGCTGGGCAGGCAGAAGACGAGCGCCAGCAAGAACTCGAGCGGGTGCGCACTCGACGCCAATGCATCCGGCATGGACACGCTCTTATATCCCTCGAAGACTTCGATGCGTCCATGATAACGGGTGACGACGTGGTGAGCGGCCGGCACAAGCTTCCGGCTACAACCATTTGTCCGATCTGCAAGGCTTGGAAGTGGCCAGGCGAGTCTGCGATATCATGCTGTCTGGGAGGCAGAGTAAAGCTGCCTCCACTGCACCCCGCGCCACGGAAGCTGCTTCAGCTGTACGGAGATCCCGAGTTCCGCCGTCAAATTCGTGCTTACAACCAAGCCTTCGCGTTTACGTCGATTGGTGCTTCATGCTCAAACCGATCGTTTCAAAACGTACGTCAAGACGAGAGCGTTGCCGGTACACACGGGGTGTACACATATCGCATTCAAGGGGCTATGGGGCACTACCTAGGGTCCCTCCTTCCCCACATAGACCGTCGGACAGGCGCGCGGGTAGCACCCAAGTTTGCGCAGATCTACATTGTGGATCCAGACATGCAACGCCGCGCGGAGCGACGTCTTGGTATATTCGCGGATCTGGATCGTGTTGCACTACTAGACATCGAGAAAATGATGGCAGAGCACAACCCATTGGCGCAACGGTTCCTCCACTTTGGGCAGCAGGTGCGTCAACACAACACGGAGGCTCCAGTAGACTTGGTGTTCCGTCTGCACGACAACTCCTCGCGACCGAGGACGCATAACCGCCCCACTGTGTCTGAAGTGGCTGCGACTCTCATTGAGGATGGCAACCTGGCTCAGCCTCGGGATCTACTACTCTTTACACGCGATCAAAGACTGCTACGTTTGTACGAGACTCACGCCGATTACGATCCACTCCAATACCCGCTTCTCCTTCCATATGGAGAGAAGGGCTGGACCTACACAGACGAGTTCGCGAATGGTGCTGAGTATCGAAACAAGAAGGCGATGTCGCTTCGTGAACACGTTGCGTTCCGCCTCCACCAGAAAGTGGATGATCAGTCCGCTCTCCACCAAGGTGGGCGTCTATTTCAGCAGTGGTGTGTAGATCAGCGTGCAAAATGTGAGCAAGAACAGCTTCGCTGGGTGGCCGACAATCAGAAAACACTACGCGCCGATCAATACAGGGGTGTTCAAGACGCTTTGCTCAACGAAGATACTTTGGCTCTGGCGGAAGGAGAAGTACTGCTGTCGGAATATGACCGGGCCCAGAACAGATTGGTGCACCCGGACCGGGCCGGAGGCGGCAGAGTACGACCTACCCACTTTCTTAATCAGGTTGGCAAGCGTATCATACTACCGGCTTCGCACCTGGGTAGCCCGCGGTCCATGTACAAGTCGTATCAAGATTCGATGGCAATTGTTCGGGAGTATGGACGGCCCGACGTCTTCCTGACTGAAACGTGCAACCCCAAATGGGACGAGATTCTTGAAGCGTTACCTTCCGAGACCCAGACAGCTCAAGATCGACCAGACATCGTGGCTCGCGTGTGGCAGCAGAAATTGCAAGCGACGCTCGATGATTTAAACCAAGGCGTTCTGGGGCGAGTGCGCGCGCGGATTTACGTTGTCGAGTTTCAAAAACGAGGGCTCCCCCACGCTCACGTACTGATTATTTTGGCTGACGAAGACAAACCTCGAACCCGCGAGATCGTAGACAAGATGGTATGCGCTGAGATCCCAGATAAGGATAAAAACCCTCAGCTGTATGAGACGGTCATGTCATGCATGCTCCATGGTCCATGCGGGCCTGCAAATCCTTCCTGCGCGTGTATGAAGGATGGCAAGTGCACCAAAGGATATCCGAAGCCCTTAGCAGAAGTTACACAAGCCAATGCCAACGGATATCCAGTGTACAGACGACGTCGACGGCAAGAAGGTGTTCTAAAGTTCAAAGGCAGAGAATACGACAATGCTACGATCAACCAGTGGGTTGTACCGTACAACCCGTACTTATTCCAGGAGTACAACTGCCACATCAACGTCGAAGTGTGCACGGATATTACTGCGGTTAAATACCTGTACAAGTATGTGTACAAAGGACCCGACATGGCTATACTCACTGTGGAAGAAGTCCGAGGAGGGCAGCAGAGTGCGCGTCGAGAACCAAATGAGATTCTACGTTTCTTGAGCGCCCGGTACATTCCTCCGGTGGAAGCTTGCATGCGCCTGATCGATTTAACAATTCAGGGGAAAACCCATGCGGTGACACAGCTAACTGTTCATCTCGAGTCAGGCCAGACAATTTGCTTTCGCGAGACGGAAAACCCGGAGGCGGTTTTGGAACGGGGTAGTCACACGATGCTGACCAGATTCTTTGAGTTGTGTGCGAGTGAAGAGCCTCAGAATCATATTGCCAGGACGATGCTGTATCAGGATATCCCCAAAGAGTTCTGCTGGAAAGCGCCGGAGAAAGGGCAACCGAAAAGGTGGGTTCGCAGGAAACAGTATCAAGCTGCGGTTGGTCGCATGATTCATGTGTC